CTTTTCATTTATTACAACACTTTCAAGACAGATATTTCGATGCATCATTTTTGCATCCACATGCAAGAAAGACAGTGCTTCAGCAATCTGAAATAAAAAATTTAAACTTAAAGTATCAAAGAAATTTCAGATTTTTACCTAAATACGCAAATTTTTTACCTTAAAAATCAGTCAAGTTTAGGGAAATACATCTGAAAGCTCAAGGTACCAGAGGAATTTCAGGTTTTTGCCTAAATGCGCTAATTTTCAACTTAAAAATCAGTTTAATTCGTGGAAGCATAAAAAACAAAACCTGAAACAATCCGTAACGAATCTCGACATCCAAAAGCTCGAAATCGATTAGATGAGCGGGGTGAGGAGGAGTTATATTATCCATACATCCTAGAGTATTAGCAAGACAAGCAAACACCGGTTCTGTACAAAATGCATACGAATCCCTGGAAGAACAATGTTTGATGAAATACTACTGAACCTAGGGGGCTGTGCTGATGATCCCCGCCCCTAATCACATCTGGTGCTGTCTGTGTTAACAGCTTGGGGATAAAACACAGACAGGCTTTATGTACATACAGCTCTTCACATGACTTCTTCTAAATTTCACTTATTTTTTAAGAAAAAAATATTCGTCACAACAATTTGAACTCTTTTTATTTTCTTTCTTCCATTATCACCACAGACCTTGGGCAATTACTGCCCCACCACGGCGCTTTCCCATTTCGTGTACGAACTTTGGCGCCCCTCCGGGTAATACCCTTAGCTATGGGGGCGCTGTCCCGGCCCTCTGTTCTTTTACAAAGCCCCTCTGGCCCGTACTGGCTTTTGTAGAGATTGGTAAAGAATAAAGTAAAAAATGATAAATGCAATGATAATGTAGTCAAAAAAAAAAAAAACTACAGTGAAGAAATAAGGCCAGAAAATCAGCTAACTCCACGGTTTATAAAATTTTGGATCCTTCAGATGGAATAAAGAAACTCAAAAAAGATGAGGATGGAGAAATTGCCAGTTGCATCAACGCGAGAAGAAACGCGATGATGAAACAACAGCAAAACAAAATATCTAAAATATCAGATGATATGGGATTAATCAAAATATCATGGACAGTGGAGACATATTAGGAGGCTGTTCGTGTTTCATCCCTTAACTGTAAACACATACTGAACGCAGCACACGGATAGGAGTGGGAATCATCAATGCAGCCCTCTAACTGCCATGTTTACGACAAGCATGTATCCAAAAATTCAGGATTAAAGTAAAGGCAAAGGAGAAGACGTGAGGATAAAGTAATTACGATAGTGAGAGTATCAAAATCTAATAAAAATTTATAAGCAGAAGGAATGAAATAAAGAGGAAAAAGGAAAAAGAAGGTAAGAAATGAAAATTAGAAAATCTGACAGATTATTATAATGGTAAGAAATGTTTCGGTCCATCAAGTCGTATACATTTCTTATCATTACCACAACTGGACCTCGTCAGTAAGTATTAAATGAAATATCTGGCACGCACAAAAAAACAATGAACAGTACTATTTATACCGAGATTCTTCGAGTGGATGTTCAATGACGAGAATACGTGGATGCCTTAATCTGGTCAGTTGCGATACACCTCTCCTCAGGATTTCTGCGAACAATTCCTTCTCGTATCTCGGCCATTTATCCAAATCCTTCTTTTCAAACAACCAAACTGCCACCGGCTGAAAGCGATAATGTGATTCACATGTGATAAATGTGAATCCAATTTCAAAAACATCGTTTTTTTTTTTAAATTCAAAAAATTCGAAACAGTTACTAAATTAAGCAACGTGAACATACGGCACGT